AACGATGTGTTATGCGGTTTTCGTAATCCCTAAACTAAAGTTTTGCCTGCACTTTACACGACTTCTACATATTTAAATAAAACATTTATCGGGTTTAAAACGCGGAATAAGTTATTATTATAGTATAATAAGATGAACACGTATTAAACCGTTAAAAGTTCTTTATTTTAAATCCAAAACCCACCACTCCTAGCTACGAGACTCGCCTAGCCCTATCGATCCGGTCCGTGACAATAGAATACATTACTAGGCGGGCTGGAGTGCAGGGACAGTGGCCGGTAATTGACAAGCGTGATTTACTGTCCCTCCCTCGCGGCCCGCGCGTTGCCGAGGGCGTCGCCGGTCACTGGTCAGTGCGCGCCGATTGGCCGGCCGTGACCCCGCCCCCTTAGCCTCCGCGCGACCTCGCTAGCCACCCGCTACCTACTCATCGCTTCTGATAGCCTGGTACTTGCGATCCTAAGTCGAGCCGGACGCTGGACTTGAAATTTTTGTGACGTCACTTACAAGTGTTGTGTGCAAGTCATCTATCTATCTTATTTAAGAACAAAGCTTATTTTTAGCACAATATTTAATTTAAAATTTAAATACTTCTTAACGCATTTATTTCATTGTAAGATTTTAAATTAATAATAATTAATACCTTGAGAAATTATGTAATTTTCTTTAATCCCTATGGGTAAATATTTCCAATCTGTTCAAAAACCTTCAGGGGCGTAACAATTCTAAGATTTTAAGCTTTTACAAACTAATTTGACTGATATTGTTTTGTACATGGGTAATATTCGTAAGTATAAGTTAACTTGTTTTAACTGCCACCCGAAATTAACGATGTTTTATTGCTAAACCGCGTTTTAAACCGTTCAAACTGTCTTACTTTAATGAGACAGATTTTAAGTCATTATTTTTTGCACTTAAACTGTAACTAGCGAGTTGAATAGCTCGGTACGCCGAGTCATTTGTAGATGATCACTTTTCCCAAGAACAATAGCAGTGAGTTCGCGATAAGCGGGCGAAGGCGGGCAAAAACGGGCGGCAAGATGAAAGGAGGCCGTCGCCCGCCGCTTAATGAGTGCGATTAAAATTAATTTGCGCGAGGGACTGCCAAATTAAATTCCACGACCCCCCGATTGACGGCTGATGAGCAATGGCCGCTGTCTTCGTGTTTCGAGGGTCCCCTCCCCGCTCGTCCCTTCTAGTGTTTACTCGGGACTTTTTATTAGTGCAAAGATCTAATCCTAATATGTTTCTACAATTCTAAAGAATAAGACTAGAAGAGTGATGAAGATTTGTCGTGTTATGCAATTGAAAATAGATAATTGTATTTACCCAAAATTAACAGCTTAATACGAGAAAATCAAAACTTTAGATCTACACTAAAAATGTACCTATGTATTAGTCCATACTTTAAGAATTAGACACGTAACCGAATCCTCTTTTTCCCTAATGCCGAACAGACATAAACTTAATGTCTTAGTGCGTCGCTACATCGTCATTCACGTAATTATTTTAATATGTCATACTTGGAAGTCGTCGCTATAAATACATAAACATAGATATGTACTCAAGGGAAGACATTATCAAACAAAGGGCGTTTGTCACGGAAGGGGTGACGCGGGGTTCTGGGGTTATTGACAAATACCACGAAGCACACACGCACAAATTCGCTGCCAGACCTTGAGGGGGATTTGGAGGGTCTAATTTAGGGTGAAACATATAAATGTATTCTTTACGGGCGCGTTGGTTGAATAGTAGAGCAGATAATCCACGGGTAGTGACTTCGATTCCCATGTGTTTATTTTCAAACTTCGTGTAGAAATCTGGATATTAAATGGATGGTAGGAATATCTGTAGCTTCCGCGAATAGCACACATTTAAATAAAACAGTTTAACGGGTTTAAAAAGCGAAATATATTAGTTAAACTGGTTTACAAGTTATTTTTAATTACGACGTTTCAGATGTTTTAAGTAATATATTTCGCGTTTTGAACTGTTAAATTGTTTTATTGAAACTTGTACTACACGAGTAAACATTTTAAAGCTTTATAAAGTGTTTTATTCAAATTTTAGGATTTTTCAAAGCAAAAAGGTTGTACGGAAAGATAATATTTATAAAACATAAAGCGTACTTACTCTTTACGAGCATTACATAGCTATCGACAGGATATTTAAAATAATCTACTGATTTAAGTAGTAACTAATTAGGCATTTAAGGGTAAGCGACCATTTAGATAAGGTCGCATAAAATTTCAAAATATTATATATATATATTATATGTTTAAAAGATTCAAACATAAAGCAGACTATTGTAAAACATGGCTTTCTATGTAAAATTATTTCAAAGAAAACTCTGAAAGGGCCCCGCATACGTTTGATATAGAGACAGCGTGTCTGTGAAGTGCCTTGAAACGTGAAATGCGCAGAGGTTACGAATAAGCCCTTAAATTATCACAATTAAAATATCTGCGCCGCGACGCGACGGAATGTCTTTGAAAATTAAAATTCGTTGACGCAGCACTTAAGGCCGGTTACACACCGGGCGGTTGAGAGCGGGACCGGTTTCATTATATCAAACATGTGGAAGTTTAACTCTCTCATGATCAACACAAAGTTCACCAAGTAAGTCTATAGTTTACGCGAGTAACATTTAATGATTTCAAAAAAAAATATAAATTAGTTATTTTACTGTGTGGGGGCGTCTCCTATGACATAATATATTTTGGGTTTTAAATCGTTAATTCTTTTTATTTAAAGAAAGTCAACTATCAAACATTAAACGAGTGTACATTTGCCTAGATTTATTATATTTATGTGTTAATAACTTAACTTTGTATTTGTATATGAGTTACTTCAAAATTTAATTTAAACTGACCAATGCAGACCAGCCCTTAGCCCCGCCTTTGCCCAAGAATAATTCATATTTACTAATATGTTACTTTAAGTGAACTCAGGAAGAAAATACGTGCGAATTATTTAACGGCGACATTTTTTTCGTTTTATGTGTTAATAAAACCCTTTATCTTGACTATATTTAATGGGTTGTACATAATATAACAAACCTTATTTTTTTGTCCTTTTTATGCCTAAAATAGCATAAAGAAAACAAATCTAGGTAAGTGTTGTTTAAATGTAGTTCGTGATCCATGGGCATTTTTCATCGGAAGTGTTTTAATTTATTATCAAATCGTTATATTGTAGGTTTTACGATATTTGGGCAGTGCGAACAAGCCAACTCATATTAAAAGTCAAGCGTTTTATTATCTTATTAAATTTAGCATCTTTTGTTTATGATGACCTTTTGATTAGGTACTAACGTTTAGATCGCAAAAACGCTCGTCTGTAACGGGCCTAAACGCGTTATTTATTAGAAGAGTCATCGCCACTCTTTGATAGCGACATCAAATGCGTTAGACGCACAGGAAAACTGTAATCATTCAATGGCCCAGATTGATGGCGCTCCAGAACCACTAAAAGCGATTGTTCATAAAACACACCGTGACAAATGCACCGCTTCAAACATTTCCACATCATGAATAAATAACACCGTCCTGTCCGTCCGTCCGATTTATTTTGCTCGGGTTTAAGTCAACGGAGTTGCGTTGCAAGACTAGCGTTATTGTTTCGTGACGCGTTTAAAGGTAAAATGAATGTTAGCCATAGAAAATGAGGTCGGTGATTAATTCAGTAATATAGTATGTTATCTATGTTTTTTATTAAATAGCTGGTACCTTTGCATTAGAAGATTCAAAATTTAGATTTGGCATCGCAAAGTGGGCAACCTATATATTTTATATGTAACATGTTATTAAAACTAGCTAGTTCTAATACTAAATACATACTTTGAAAAGGCTAAGAATGAATTTTACAAAAAAGTTATTACCTATTCTAAGCTAATGTAACTTATAATGCAGAATTAAGTTTTTATTGTTAACAAACAAAAGTAATACAAAGTGTTCCAATGTTCAAATAGAAGGCTCAAAATTTTCTCATCTATTTCGGGAAACTAATTTTATGTATAAAATGTTACTGTTCTCTTTATGGGCACCATCGTCTTACACGTATAAAATATTTAATTAACTTTCGTTTGATATGTGGGATAATGTTTTGTCGCATTGGTTAAATTTTTAACTATAACAGTAATTAAAGTTTAAAACGCGAGATACATATGTACCTACAGCATTCGAAAGGTTGTATTTAAAAAACGATCAATTTTGCTTTATCACTGTCGTATGTTCAAATCAGATTATAACTAAGTAGTTAATTTAAATGCGATCTTTTTGACTAACAATTCTCTAAGCAGCTACAAATGTCGAACACGTGAATACGCTCGAAATGAAAGCGAGAAATCGCCAGCTAATAAGAATCGAGCCGACGCAATAAGTGATGTAAAATAGAATGGAAGGAGTATTTATGAAGACGGTGAATGGGAGCGGAATGTAGGGAAAAAGCGCGGTGAGCCAAAGAGGATTCCTGCGAGCGTTTGAGGCCATTTTGCTTTCAAACGCGTAATTATACGGAGCGATGTCATCTTCGCCGTGCGCCTAATGGCCCTAGGTCCGGCGCTTTTCATTATGAAGATTGCCTACTATGTGCAAAACCACATTATATAGGCTGACTTCCTTTATTATTTATTATTGATTATTATAGGTTCTTCAAAACAGTTGGATCTGTATAGTCCATTGCAATTATTCAAACAAAATACTACATATGTGTGTTTGTTATGGAATAGGATTTGTTCGTCGCATAAGCTGTCATTTTATTTGAAAGTGTAGCACTACTAGTTTATAACGCATATTTGCTATATGTTACTCTAGAAGTGATGGCGTTGTCGTAACATTGTTAATTTTAGTGCAATTACATAATTTGTTTAAGTGTAGTTTTCAAGTTACTTAGTATCTTGTGTGCATTTTAAATACATGATTGTTTTATTATTATTAAATGGATAATATTATCGAAAGCGGTGCAGCCCTCGAGTCGCTTAAAATCTCTTCTATTCTAGTCTACATACCGGGCGGTGGATAGGAATAGGGCGAGCAAGCGGACGGGTCGAGGTGCTGCGCATGCGCGTGCGCATGGTGCGCATGACCCCACTCCACGGGCTTGTACTGCGCGTGCAGCGAGCCTCTGCCGAGCAGCAGCCCGCTGTATCCAGCCGCTGCCATGTTGTGATGTGCCGCTGCTGCGTGGTATTCAGCTGCGTGTCGATGCGCTGCATGGCCGTAGCTGCAAATGTAACTTACTTAGATGCAGGTTCATGATCTTTTACTACCTATCACTGGGCTAATAAATATATTCTTGTAAGACTACCTCTATATCTACTGTATATAAACAATTTCTCACCCAGCGTAATGCTGATGCCAAGGGTCGTAGTCGTAGAGGTCGAGTCCGGCGCAAGACGGCGCAGACGCAGCCGCGTTGAAGAACGACGCGGGGAGATTGCGCGACGCCATGGGCACGCCTTCTGTACAATTAGGTAATAGTTTTTGAAATCCTATTAAGTAGAAAAGAGATCTAACGAACGTAGATTCGATTGAGAGTTAGTTTTTAAAAGAAATTTCCATTCGAACCAATTACAATACCTAAATTGGTTTATTGGAACTTACTTGTTGTGCTTTAAGAGTACCTATGGCTAAAGTTTTACTGTTCTATATATATATTCCTATTGCCGCTGTAGCGACAAAAACTTAAAACAAAAGAAAATAACTATATTTCCCTCAATAAGGTTCACAGATAGGCAGTTGTATTTTTATCTGTACAATAAATATAGATCGGTACAAAAGTGGGATTCAAAAGTACGCTTGTCTGGCCTATTATTGGCCGATTGTAATATACCCTCATAATTATTAAAGGAAGGTTAATGTTCAGAATGAAATGTATTCAATTGGGGGGTAGATTAGTTTATTCGATACGACAACGCGCGCTGACTCCGTTTGACACTCGTGCGAGCCAGTTGTGCACACTTTTGTTAATTCTCCATTATGTGACGGTTTTTGTGAATATTAGATAAGTTACGAAGCCCGTGTGTTGGAGAAACTACTAGTTGTTGTTTTAAAAAGTATCCTCGAGTGCAGTGCGCTTTGAAGAGTAAATGCGTATTATGTAAAATGGTGGACTCAGTGTGACGTAAGTTCCCGATTACAACACAGACAGACACAGCACAATAAGGGTGCACGTAAGGAGTTCACCACCGGACCCGTGGTGAGTACTTAGAGTATTGAATCAAGTTGGCTTATTAAAAGTGTGTGTCGAAATTTCGGCCGTTTTCTGTCTTTATGTTACAATTAACGTTTCAAATATTACCGATATAATACTATAGTACGTAGGTATAACTATAGTACCCAGTCAAATCTATAAAAGTTAATAAATTATATATTTTTAATTAAATAATTTGATCTTGTAAACTTAATTATTTTTTTACGTGATGGACAATTATAAATTAAAATCTATTGAGATTGAATGAATTCGACGGGACGTAAACGGCATCCGTGATGCTGCTGTGACCCGCTGTTTAGGTTGCAATCAAATTGTGCAAGAGGTGCCAGGTTGAAGAAATTCGCCGACGAAGAGTGGGCGGTAGATCTCTTGGTTTGAATGTTATTGCACTAGTAGTTAAAATGTCTTGAACATACACTGCATAAATAAACACGATTTTGTATTTATGCATAAAAAAGTTGTACTCGATAGAGTGTTAAGGCAATAATACATTTGCATTCTAGAGTTACCAGCATTTCAATATTTATAGGCCTCATGCCTATTTGTACCTAAGCAGCTGTAAAAAGTTTTCTGTATAGCGTCGAATGCGCTAAATTCGTTATTTACCTGAACCAGGCTGGAAATCTTTAATATTTTGCACCTGTTATTGCATTTGATGATTAGGTATGTAAATTATAAGTCAATTTAGATATAAGCAAATATGACACGGGCATCCACAGCGTACCGTACCGTTGCTTCAACGAATTGAGCTAACGTGCCCCAAATGTCATCGTCGAATGTCTTTAACCCATTAATAGGAGCGCCTCTCGCGCAATGTAAAGTCAATCTAAACACTTAGGTACCTATTGAGTTTCGGCGTCCTATGTTTGCAGCGTAAGAAATCAGTGAAGTCACAATTACACAATTTATCTTTAAGCTAGCTAAATATAGCATTTATATAGTAATCTAACTATAACAATGAACACATTACGTAGGAATAATTAGTTCATCGATGGCGATAAGGTCGCCATGAGTAGTTATTGTAAAGCAAATGTAACAACATAATTGTTGTTGTGGATAATTCTTTTAAACATTCCATTTTACTCATTTATCCCGTTTAATATTTCTCTGTTTTCTTTTGTTTTGGACTTTTCTAACGCTCTAGTATGGCTATATGGCTAATAATAATCAACGGGTTGTTTATTCCCATTATAGATTATAATTTTTCTTAAACGTGTTGCACTTCTTCTGAAATCTCAATATTAAATGCGGATTAGAAATATCGAAATTGCGTCTGGGTCGAGAACTTACGTAAAAAGCCTGAAGTTCAACCGCGTTTCAATTTCAGCCTAAATATTGCCTGAAGTGTCAAAAAATGAACAAATCAAACAGGAAATGTTCACAATTTGTAATCGAGATTATATTTCATAGTTTTTGATTCATAGAACCTAAGATGATAACTTAACTTTGTAAATAAAACCGGCCAACTTAGCCTCCCAGTGGCGGAGAGGCGTAAGAGCGGGCGACCGCGTAAAAAGTAAAAGAATGGAGGTCGGATTGTTTCGTCGTGGTAAAAATAAACCACCGATATTAGGTATAGAACGAGTTGACACTATAAAGAGATGCGATAAGAGATCAAAGGAGCGGGACAAAGGCTTCGCGGAATGGCCGTGGGAGAACAACGCACCAACAAATCACAGAGGAATGCGCTTGCGCGGATACTTAGCGGTATTTAATTGTGCTCTACAATCGGTTGCGTCGTTACGGCCAATTTGGCGGAAGGGAAATGCGCTGCGCGTACGCATAGGTCGATTAGAAATTCATCTGTTTTTTCACACTGTTCTCGTTACCGTAGAGATTTCAGCGCCGAAGCGAGTGTGTATAAATAATTACATTTAATTAAGTTTCTGTTGAGTTTTGAAATTGACTGATAGGTTAATGGCAATAATTAGCTTTTATTCCAAACTACTCGCCGTCCAATTTGTCAACGGTGACTGCTAATAGGTACCGACACATAAGTACCTATTTGAATGTAATTTGAAGTCAGAAAAAATCGATAAAGACGAAAGTACCTACTAGCTCCTAAGTTATACGATGATAATACCAATAAATAAACATATGCGGTTATTATTCCATGGCGTAAACGCGGTTGTAGCTCATGCATACAGTTTTTAGCGGTAAAAGTCATCATTTATGACTCGCATTTACGCACCGACAATATATATCTTATTATCTATACTTCGGCTTTTTTAAAAGTTAAAGCAATGTATTAAATGATTTTCTTAACTAGCTGAGTCAGCGACGTCCGCGTGGAATAGTTATTTTGGGCATCCAAAATTGTTTTGTGCAAACCGTTACTACGTCATCGTTCGGTTCCCGTCGTTCTTGCGAGTTCATCTTAAGAGATAGACATTTACTATCGCGAACGTTTTTTTTATAATTTAAAGAGAAATCATTTTTTTGTATATATTTTTTGGGTTTCTTGAACCGTTTTCGCAGCGCACGCAATGGCAACCCACATGGATGATTATATATATATAGATAATTTTCCCCGATTTTTCGATATTTCCCGCTGTTTAATTTCCCCTATTAGTCACAGCGCAATGTTTTATAACCTATAGGCCTTCCTCAATAAATGCTCTAACCAACATAAAAAAAACATTGCTTTCAATTCGAACCAGTAGTTCCTGAGATTAGTGCGTTCAAACAAACTAACTCTTCAGCTTTTATATATTAGTATAGATACGTTTGTAGATATTGTCAAATCAAACATCACTAAAACGACAATTGACGGTAATGCAAAAATAACGCGGCGTTTTCATTACTTCATTCTGACCGTCAACGCATTAAGAGTTATTTCATAGAACAATTCCCAGAATTCGTGTTTCGTTCACGTCCAGAGCTAATTACAATGTACTTCGGTGGAAATCTAAACCGGAATACGCGAGCTGACAAAACAAAATATGTTTTAGTAATGTATTCGCGCCGAATTGCGACACGAACCCGCGCCCGTCATTAGCCGCTGGCCGGCGGCGTTTTTTCCGCCGCATCGGTACGTCCGGCTCTGTCCGGCAAAGTGGGACCGTGCTGACTTTTTGCCGGGCGGCTCCTTTGGCCCACATTTGTGCCTTTTTCCGATCTAATCGGCTGTGTCCTCGACGTTCGACCCACTTTTTAATGGAGACCGGTTCGCGTTGCGTCATTGCCATTGCGAATCTAAGAATTTGATGGTTCGAAAGGAAAATCTTTTTTTGCACATTTCAGCAACTACAGCTCAAAAGATAAATTTGTATGATTGAAAATATGTATTAAATAACATTTTTTTGTTTTTTTGTTCAAGCTACTTTAATTGACAGTGCTAGCGCTACATCACAATGTATCTCCTGAGAAGTGTAGTTTAGTATACATATAACATACTATGTACGTACTAGCGTTGAAATATTATATTATAGCTTAAAATAAAGATAAGAATTACCCTTATCTGGACTTGTAACATAATGAATATGCATGTACTGTTTTGTTTAAAGTGCTGAAAATATTTCCTGAAATTTTATTTATATTACTATTATAGAATGACGTCGTCGTTAAGCAGCGAACAGCGAGTCAAATGAAGTGCCCGCCATAACTATGTACCAGGCACCCATAACCCCGGAGGGTGTTGCGTGTGGGAGGGTTCACTCTATTCCCGCAATTAAAGCGAAGTTTAATTAAGGCAGACTGATTTATCTAGTCGGTTTCCCGGGAATAGGCTTCCACGAAGTACGTTGGAGTTTTTGCGAGCGGTTCGCAGTATTGTCAGTCGAGACTTGTGACTGATGAGGGAGGGAAAACGGGTTGGCGTCTCGACAACTTAGCGCTTTCGGCGACAGATTTAAGTCCTTCGCTTGCTCCTTTTGTAGTTATATTAAGTATATATTATATAGTATACTAGCGACCCGACCCGCCTTCGCTCGGGGGCAATGCTGATATTAAATACACTACAGAAAAACTATAAACGGGAAGGTTTTTATATACAACATATAAAAACCTTCCCCTTGAATCACTCTATCTATGTTAAAAAAACGCATAAAAATTCGTTGCCTAGTTTTAAAGATTTAGGCTTACATAGGGACCGGAAAAGCGACTTTGTTTTATACCACGTATGTAGTGATACGTAATTTTCTCTTTGGCGAACTTGGCAAACAAATATGAAATGAAATTAATATTATATAATTAGTATTTTTAATTAAGGTGATTGTAATTAACACGATAGATAGTAAAGTCTTTGAAATGGGTTCATTGTCATGGAAAAATCAGCTCAAAGCGCGTTCTGCTGTAGCGCTACAAGGTACAAAGTGGTCAGAAGAACACGACTCGCCCAGGTGCGATCGATACTAGGAAATACAAACTGACCAGTGGACGCTACCGGACAGCCGCATGTTAAAAACGTCTGGAACTCTTCACACTTTCTAAGCTCCTAGTAATGACGAAATGCCGTGTTCATTTTTACTAGAAGAAAAAGACTTACGTGGGATATTGATTGTTTTTGTATTTATGTATCCGAAGGTTTCCTAAAAGCATAATTGCTATTTTTTATTATAGATAAACTTCACGACAAAGTATATACACATATAATCTTTGGACGGTGGTTCATGAACGGGAAAGTTTTTTCGATTTACCCACCACTCATTTAATTACTTAATATCCAGATTTCCAAAAGAAAAACAACCAAGTTTCAGAAAAATTATTATACATATCGATTTGAATTTTTTGGAACCGGAAAACACACGCTCCGTTTGATTTTAGTTAGATCAGCAATTACTATTAAATAATTTATTATTCCACTATAAGAAAATTTAACTTCATCGGAATCCTTTATAGGTCATCGATATAAATAAATAAATATAAGTAAATTGGTGATGAACATCCTTTGTTTCAATTGAGTAACAGAAACCAAAAGTGTATTCAAGTGAGGAGGTACTTTTTAAAACAGAAGAAGACAAACAAGAGTAGGGTCCCCTTGATGTAAAATTGAAAACCTACTCATAGAACAAGTGGCAGCGCGGAACGTTGTGAATGCCGGTTCAAGTCCCGCCCTTGTCAATATATATCGATTATTAATTTACATAATGCCAGCATGTGAAAATATTATATATTGGCTTAGGACATTCGTTGTCATTCTATTATTACTGTTACCAAATACAGCCCAAATAAAAATTCATTGTCTATCTACTAAATTTATTCCCCGCGTTTGCAAAGCCATATTTCCAAGTGGACTTAGCGATAACTAGTGTAACACCCACATTTCCATTCAATTAAACGATTGAAGAGCGATCCATTTGATTTGGGGCGAATTTGTAGGCGTCGGGGGAACGAACCGCGTCGCGACACGAACGGAATAACGAAACGGACCGATTTTACTTTGTTACTCTAATTACTTCATGAACGCTTTGTGCAAAAGTAAGCTCGGAATATTTTCATTTACTTTGAAGTATTTCGTCGTTGCCTTTGCCAAAATGTTATTATACAGTGAATTCAAAAATATTATACGCCTTCCATACACGATAGAAATTTTAAATTTGAACATTACGCATTGGAATTATTATTTAGGGATGTTTTAACGATACCAAAAGACCGAGTACCGATCAAGTGCGAGTCGCTTTCTCGCGCTAAAGGTTCCCATCATAGGATTGTACAAGCTGAGATAAGAATGAATTGTGTCAAAAATAGAATAGTCAAGCGAGAATTTTCAATGAAAATTAAGAGAGTCAATATATCGTTTCGGATGCTTTGAGCAGCTTGTTTTATTTAAAAGGTTTCTAATTTATATAACTGACTATACTTTAACCTATCTATCTACAGTAATATATAAAGCTGAAGAGTTTGTTTGTTTGAATACGCTAATCTTAGGAACTAATGTTTCGAATTGAAAAAAAAATTTTTTTTTTTGGTTTGTATCATTTATCGAGACAGGCTATTATAGTCTATAAAACATTTCGCTGTGAAACACTAATAGTAGCGAAGAACAGCGGAAAAATGCGGTAAAAATGATTACTCTTTGTAGGTTTCTGATGCGTACGCTGCGAAAACGATTCAAGATACACCAAAAATATGTATCAGAGAATTATTCTTCTTTAAATTATCAAAAAAAATGTCCACGACACTATATGCCCCTCACTTAGGATGAACTGACGTCCAAATTTTTTTGTCAAAGAAATTTTTGCCCAAGATAAGTACTCTACGCGGACGAAGTCGCTTTTCGAAATTCGAAGTGGAAATTTTCCTACTTTACTTTACTTTAGGCTAAATCGGGGTATATTACGTATTCCTAACGGAAATAAACGGCTTGAGTCTGAGGTTACCTTTAGTAACGTTCGTATAGATAAGCATTCGATTTTGCTACGTTATTAAGAACGTTTTCCTACGTTTTAATAAACGTTTTTTTTTGTGTGACAGTTGACTAATATCTAAAAATTCTATTCAGATACGTGTAAGAGTTAGGATTTGTTGATGCCATCATCACTAGAATTCGATCAACAATATATATAAATCAATTGTTTTCAAGGGAATGTCGCCAGATAACACGTATTACGATTCAATTATTGCGCGCGTATTGTAATTATTATCATATTCCGTATAAGGGCAAACGAATGAATAAAAGAAACACTCGGTACACAATAATTTTATTGTTATGTAAGCAAAACTAGATCTAAGTCTTATTTCTCGAGAATGCAATATTTATACAATGGTGTAATCGGCCCTTATTTGAAATGTGGGACAGACATATTTTTGCATCTCTTTAAACTGATCATGCAACGGTGTGTTCAATAATAAATAGTACCTACTATTTATAAAAAGAAAAACTTTTTTTTGAAATTACGTTTAGTAAGTAAGTTTTTCTTAACGATTTAAAACGTAAAATATATGGCTCGACGTTTAAAAGGAAATGTAGATGCTCAGCATCCGAAAATTAACTAATAATATTTCGCATTTTCCAACCTTACAAAGTATCTTATTTTTTTTTTAAATACCCGAACTTACCCACTTCAGGCACCCTAGGTGGCCATATTTTCGACAAACAACGACCAGTTCAAAATGTTTCTTTGCTGTGTTTTAAAATAATAATTTGAGTGCATACCTTTTATGTAACTCAGTGGCTCATATCATAAATTAAACCGGATAATTACTTAACATACATTGCTTCTCTGCCGAGAAGATTCTTATCTCTACCTACTCTAAACCAGCAATGTATAAGGAACTGTGTTTACAAGATCCCGATATAGCTCCCGTGAACGCGTTTTGCTAATTAGCGGGGATGTACAAAGTACCGCTTCGTATCGGTGAAGATCGCTATCGCCCGAACTTAATTCCTGTCGCATCACCCCGTTTGGTGATCCATCGAGGTGATGATAAGGTCTCAGTGTCGGTGATCTTTGTATTGCATTCATCTTTTACTGATTTGATTTACATTTTAAGTATGCAATGCGAAAAACACGTTTAGGGTCTAAACCCTAGCCAGTAATTGGTGTGATTTGAGTCATTCGTTTTGTAGGGCACGGCAAACAAAAACAAACGAACATTTAAAATTGTACATTTATTCACTGCAAGTTGCCACATCATAATACATCTATTTTATTATACTAAATTATGAACCTATTTTTACACTGTCCTCTATTTTTTAGAATATTTATTTTGAACTTCGTCTAAAAATCAGGATATTTCATCAAAATTCCGTCCATTCCGTCCGGGGCACGAACAACCGTCCACAGATAAAAAGGCGCGAGGTTTAATCGCATTTTGGTTTCAGTCGGTGGCATTTCGTTGAGATTTTATAAGACCTTGTCAGTCCTCTTTTATAAAAAAAATGTGATCTTCGTAAAACGTCTTAAAAGAAGCCTCGATATATTTCGCGCAGGTCAATAAAAACGATTACACTGAGTTATCGGGAGGTACATAAATGCGCTCTCATACGCGTGACGATATTATTCCGCAGGTGTCGTCCCGTCGACGCAACTTTACGGCTTACTAAGAAGCGGCGAGTAAAAACCGCCCGAGACGCGTTCATGCAATAAACATGGCGAATCAATCGCTTCGCGCGAATCGCTCTCGCGAGTCATGCTTCAGAGCCACTTCCACTTAAGTTACGAACCTCGAACCGGGAGTTATGGTCACGTGGAGCTGCTTAAGTAGTAACTCGTACTCGTGTACATATATTTTGATATGGGAATTATGTATTAACAAATACGAAGAAAGACGATAGGAACGCCCGGCATATTTTCTATCTAACTTCGTAATCACGGCTACAAATAGGCATTCGAAATGTCGGATTTAATTTAAAAAGAAATCAATAAATAATTTGTAATTTTAAACTGTTAAAACAGTTTTATTTAACTCATACGTCACACACGTACGTACCTATGTCAGTTATAGGTTACACAAATACTTGCTTAGAAAAGTATGTCGTGCGTAATGTATCGGGGTCAATTAGTTTACCTTTGGGTTTGTCAATGGAGAGAGCCTTCGCGAAGTGCTCGTCGACGACGTTTGCGACATCTCCCGAGTAGTGTGTAAAAACGACGCAATTGGCGCTGACATATTGTGCGCGCGCACGCCCGCTCGCCCCGCACTCGCCCTCCGACTCTGAAGAACCACCGCCTGGGGGTATCACAGTTTAGCAGAAAGGAGTAAAGACCACAAGAGTAGGTGATTTACATACTATAGACATAAAGATTAAAAAGAATACCAACCGTCAGCGCTGGCCCGCCCCTCCTCCTCTTTAGTGCGTAGCCTCGGCGAATGCGGATGCTGCGTATGCAGATGCGCATGCGCGGGATGCGCGCCGTGCGGCGGCTGCGCGGCGTGGGAGTGCGTGTGCGCATGGTGCAATGCATGCGCATGGGGCGGGCTGCTCGGCGATTGGGCGCCCGAGGATGCCGAACCGGTGCTGAGAGCGCCTGCTGCACTGTACTCCCCTGCATTGCTCGCGCTTTGCACGTTCAGCTTTGGATACACAATCATTCATTAGATAAAATATTCTTAGAAATATCCGAACAAGAGATGGGGTTAGTCGCGCGACTCATTTCCTTGGCGATTTTCGTGCTGAACGTTTCCAGCTAGACTATCTCACAGGCATATAATTATTTTGATCTTTCTTCTACTTTATAACCGTATATAATACTACTCGTATATATCTATGAAGGGATGTTTATTATACAAACAACAATATGTACCCATAAAATTATACTTAAACGCTTAATGTATTAAGAACTATAGAAATTAGGAACTATATTTATTATAATTATTTTTTCTCCCATCATATGTTCGTATGATTTTCAGTCAGTTTCAGTTTCGCATAAATAAATGAGCCTTTTGCACCTTTCTTAACCAAATCAATGGATCACATTTCCATTAGGTTCGAATCTTGGTCCTCTCTTGCTAAGGTACCAATTAGTAGGTCTTTATTATTTTCCTGTAGGTAGGCTATAGGTAGGAGTGTATTTCACGCAAGACAGGAAAAAACTGTTGATTTATTATGTATAAGAAAAACTTATAAACGCACATAAATCCATTAATTATTACGTCAATCGGCAGTTTATGGGAAAAAATAAATCTATTCCCACAATTAGAGGTAAATTACTTGCTTCTTGGATACATTGTGAATATATTTTCGAAGCCCTACAGATTGAGCCCAGATCTTTCAAAAACTAAGTAGATGGGTGCTCTTTACTCTGAACATATGTAGGAGAAACATAGTCAAAGTTTTATTTCATTTATTTATTTAATATTGACATATAATTTAATATATACTCAACGTTCGACTTAAGAAGTTATCTTCAATACGATTTAAACAAAAGTAACTTTTGTTTAAATTTGAATCATGCAATAAATCACCAATGCATGTTTTTAAATTAAATACATATATCAATACAATAAGTCGATAAAAAAAAAACAAACATAAGTTTTGGGGCTGTTTGGCGAAACAATGATGTGCTAGACGATGGCCGCGAAAGCCTTACACACTTTTTTATATATTTTTTTTTAGTACACATTTCAATAAAAATCTTTTGAAAGTTTAAACATTTAACAGTAAAACAAATCAAAAATAAGTAAACTAGTATGTTTCACGTTGTAAACTGTCAAAAGAGTTTTATAAGTGTAAGATCAATACTTTAGGAAGAACATAACTAGGTAGTAAATATAATATAAATTAAAGTAGAATTTAGTATATTATAGTCATCGGGACTATTTAATTCAATCATAATAATTTTTAATTGCATTATTTTATTAGACATTATAGGTACTATAAGGTGATAACATAATATTAAAACTGCCTTTCCCAACTTGATTTGCATGCAAACCAAGTTTCGCTAAAGTGTCATCATTGTTTGCTGTGTTACTCTATATTACATACTATAAAAACGTTTAGAAACATTTGTTAAGTTCACATGATTTATTTCCTCAGAGATTTGTCGATACTCATTATGCTGACCATATTTCGCTAAAGGCGGAAGGGTTGTCACAAACGTTAAGAAAAGCAAAACGCGAGGGCGTTATGTTTAACGCGAGTGGTCCTAGGTTCCAACCCCCAGGAAATAATGAATTGTTTCGGTCGGTCACGGCACATACCTATGTCTGTTCAAATGACGTGACTTTAAATAATATTGGAGTGCTCTGTTTATGAGGTTTTCTTTTATTAACAAAAAGTGCCCCGCGTGGGGGCATGGGCGAACACTTTTCGGTTCGGGTTTGAACCCAGAACCGCGCACGTTGAGGCAATACTAGGAAACGCGTAACCATTTAGCTACGGAGGTAGTTCCTTTCAAGCCCTTGATTTGACAACCGGTAGTAAATGAGTATTTAGAATTTTGAGCTGATTTTAACTGATTTGACATTCACAATTAGTATAATCTACGTAAGTAAATTACTTCTGACATCTAACATATGATACAAGAACAAGTCTTCGCCTTAAAGTAATAAGCGCTAACATGTTCTCATTTATTTATGGATAATTAATAGATGGAGAACTTTCTAGTTTACTTCTTCAGTTTAGTCGATAAATAAAAATGAAAATCTAGAAGGAATAGAAAGAATGTCTACACTAGACGCGATGATGCCTTTAGGTATCAGGGCGCTACGGAGAAAAAGAAGATAAAAATTAATTTCGCGTCTAGTTTAAAACCGGATCCCATTATGCTTCTCTGGTACATTTTTTCACAGCCCTGTAAAGGGTTTCTCATACAATATTAATAAACGGCGAGTCCGTCTGTGTGTATTTTCTCAGCGTACCTTACCGTTCTAATGTCAAGGTCCTAACGATTGTAGATGTTTTGCACCACGGTTGCCTAATGCAAGTAACTACGAATAAAATATATATTTACTTACATGGCTAATTAGGTAAACGAGTTTTTAATTTATGACTTTGGCGACACTAAGATATATTCTTGTTCCATATTCCTAGCTTTATTGAAACAAGCAAATGAAAGCGAAGCTTAGTTAAAAAACAAAGAAGTAAGTAGTTAAAATAAATTGTAAGTAAGTTGACCAGTACATCAGTCACGTTAACACTTTAAACATTAAATGTTTGTTTTATTTAAATGTGTACTACTCGCGTAAACCACAGACAGTAAAGTACTGTATTAATGATATAAACCCCCTTAAGGGAAATTATTATTATAATAAGTTGGTAATTACAATTCGTGTTTTTTTCCTATCATCAGCATTTATAGTCAGTCATCTATTAATCAGAACGTTACGTATCAATATCAAATTCTGTTATATACATATAGACGTGTGTATGACATGCTATTTTAGGTATATCACTTATGGTTACCCTGCGTTTTGAATCCAGGTCCACTGCCGTTGAGAAATGGAGGCTTTTGGTAGTTAACAATTTTAATTACTAATAAATATATACGAGTGGGTAAAAATAAATAAAACAATACGTATAAGATTATGTAAACAGTGAAGAGTGAATGATCATCTAAAGACGAAATTAATCGTATGCAAATAGAACAATAAAGTGAAGAAACTTTCTTGACGAGGCGGAGTGTGGCGCCATTCTCAAATTACGGAGATGTTTATTGAAACATATTATGCTAATGGAGGTATAAATATCTTTCAAGATATATCTTGTTTGTAATTCTGTGTTATACAAAATCATAGACTACGTACACGTAGGTATGAAATAGGTATTTAACTTTGACATTAGGCAGACTAAGGGTCGGTACAAAGGCTATTTTGCAATTTAATTTAAAATAATGTGTATGTCGCGTTTTAAACCCAATAAAAGTGTTTCTGTCGTGTATACATTTGTGTAAACTACTGACAATACTTAAATAGGTACTTTCATTTTTGGCATGTCATTAGATCGTGACTTCATATTACGTACAAAGAATAAAATAAAACAATACATAAATAGTTCGTTTATAAACACAAATACTTGTACATAACTTGCGAATAAAATGAATAATAAAAATAAACATACAATGAAACGAACTCTGTGCTAAAAGACATCGGCTTGGGTTCAGAAAGCCTTTCAAGCCGATTTTCAGTCTGTCCTTTACACTTTACACATAAGTATAACTAAAAAATAGAAATACAGTAAAATTGTTATACTGCGATAGTGTTGCCACTAAATTAAAATCTCTGAATCTACTACAGCAAAGGTCTGCTAGATATGGGGCAATAACCGCAGTTAGGTTATCTGTGGATCTCGATATCGGATGTCGGAGTAAATTCTCGTCTTTATGGCCTAAGTGTCCAAGGTTTAAGGCCTCAAAGGTGTGACCCACTTCCAAGTTTTCACTTTCGTGGTGACAACACGCTATTCTATCTTAAGGTTACGCTAGAGTTTTAAAAAATAAAGCTGATTAAACAAAAGCGGGGCGATTCACAAATAAGCGAAATACGCCAACATTAAGAATTGCTCTCTAGCTGTAAAAATAAGTTTTTAGAGAAAGATTCAAATTCTTAGTTACGCAAATGGAAATTCACGCTTTTGCTACCATATGTGAATTAATATATATGTATATATTTTTTATTCTGAACTTACAAGTTTACTAAATTTATTGAAACGAATTAACATTGTTTTAAAAGTATTTTTTATGTATTTGGAAACGCTTTCAGTTTATTATATAGGATAAGACCCAACACTGGCTTTTAGAGATCCAAAAAAATTATGCGCCGGAATCAGTAGGTACGCTGGTTAGGTACCTACTTACCTACTATATATTTACAAGTACCTACCTAAATTAAGATGACTATATCAATCGAATACTACTAATAGACAAATAATAACTAAATATACATTTGTCTTAAATCAAATAAACATCTAAATAAATAAAACATATGTCCTATATACTTAATTCAATGCTTCACCATGGTATTTATTGTAAATAGAGAGTTAGTGAATATTATTTCTTTTATTTATAAATAACTTATGTTAAATACCTAATAATATGTAAAATTATAAAGCTGATTGTTTAAATATTGTCTAAGTACTTATAGTTTACGCGAGTAGTACCTACACATTTAAATAAAACACTTTTTAAAAATCGCGTTTTAAACCGTTAAAGTGTTTTATTTAAAAGCTGATTGTTTGTTAATTAATCTGTTGGTCGCATTTGAAAAATGTCAAATAATTTCTCAACATGAAGTTTAGAAGGCGATGCTAATTACCTAAACTTATTTTTATGAAATACTAGTAATAACACAAACTAATTTTAATTACTTAAAATTATTTTTAGACAAAGATATGAGGTGTCTGTTACTTAAACAAATTAATTTTACATTACTCAAAAAATTGTTTATTAAACTAAGATATGATTTTCTCTGTTTGAACATATTCAACGAAATTTTTTTTTTGTATTTTCGCCAATATCTGAAAGATTGAAATGGCCAGTGGAAACAACAATAATAATAACGTTAGGCCGATTAAAATTGTGTTTAATTATCCTTAAAAGTCAACACGCTGAAGTCAAACGTACTAATATAGAAATGGCTCTAAGAACACTCGGTAGCAGAAGTATCCGCTGAGATGATGTATCCTGTATGCAAATGACTATGGTAATCGCGAATTCTTTAGCCGATGCTACATAAGTACCGTTTTGTCATGCTCTTTTATACTTTAGAATTGCTAAAATGTAGGTACGTAGAGCCAATGTCCGCCCTGCGCGTCCGCATATTTCGGATATTACTTGATTGCCCTTCAAATAGTCAGGTAATTACGATTACGGGAATGCTGGTTCGATATTATTGTCTAGACTGTTGTTTAGTTTTAGATATGGAGCTAAATAGTAGATAAGTACGTGCAGGTTACAAAGCTGTCAAAAAGTCAATCATTTCTGAAATTTTTTGACACTTAACGGATCCTTATTACCATAGACACAAATTATTTTTGTGGTATTTATTAAATGCATATATTATAGATAGTGTTTTATAAATGTTTATGCTAAGATTGTCTACCTGAATCTATAATTAGATTGTAGTTAGACATTTTACTAAAAGTCCTTCAGTTTTTAGTAAAGAACAAAATTATTATTTATATTAATTGTGGCATGTAACACGAGTTTTTGTTCTTCTTTGCCTTCTCTCAATTCATAAGTGGTTCTGTTTCTAATGTGCCGTATGGTCAGTTAACAGCCTCACCCGGTCGTACTGGAAGTGCGGCGCGTGGTGGAAGGAGCGCGCGGCCCCCCGGCCGTACAGGTACGGGTAGTAGGCGCCGTACATCACCTCGGGCACGCTCACCGCCATTCCGCCCGGCGCCGCGTGCGCCCCATGCCCCGCTCTCTACGCTGCGCGCTCCGCTCGACCGCTGCAGGCGACGACGCCGTAGGGGAGAGACGATACGCGCGTCCACCGCTGCAGCTGCTCTGCGGAATTGCAAGTAAGTTACGATGTCAATACTTATTCTAATAAAGGAAAGTATTGAAATGCAGTATAGACTGGGTACTTTTTTCTTCGCCTAATAGATAGGTACTCGTATATTCTTCCTCCGTATTGTTGTGCTACATACACCTTTACTGATGGCTCCGAATTTTTCAGTGTTTGGATATAGTGTACATAACAGCATTAAGCGGATATGTATGTAACTCACGTAACGCGAAATGTACCTTCTTATTAATATACTTCGCGTTTTAAACTACTCGCATAAACAATAGACAGTACTTAGGTATGCAAAGACTCCAGTATGGATGGCGATTAGTGCTACTTAGAAAATAGGTAGACCATAATTTTTAAAAGACCTATTTTATTTTACCATATAGCTAATGTATGAGATACTTTTAGACCTTAGAAGCAGAACCGCGACAATATTTATCTCTCGGACAACTTCTTAGATTTAATAATTAACTAAGATAAATTACTAGTCACTAAACGCGATGTTTTCCATAAAACACCTAACAGGCTGGCTCGGCGACCTTAAAAAAGGCGGTTAAGTTTGATGCGATCTAACGGGCCGGGTTCCGCTTAAAACATTTTTACAATTTTATACGAGTTATTAACGTTTGAATTGAAGTATTTAGTTTATAATAAAAATGTCTATATATATTTAAATGTATATTAACTATAGTATAGTAATTATAATGAGTAGAAGATTTTATTATATTAGCGTTTATGATTAATAATAATAATTTATAAATAAATTTAACTGGTATATTTCGCTTTTAAACCGTTAAAGTGTGTAATTTGAATGTGTATATCTCGTGCAAACTAGAGTTTTTTTTATTAGCGTTTCTCAACATTAATACAAATTATATTACCCTTATATTATTTAATTGTAAAACACATTATTGTCTTTAGAGTGGTGGGATACTTAACTCTTTGTACTGTCTAACTTAAAAGTCAGTAAGATTTGAAAACAAAATGTCCGTTTATTAGGTATGTCTTTTTCGTTTGGCATTTTATGTATAAGTTACATACACTATTCCCGGAGACTGAACCCTAAAAACGCAGTTAATGCACGCTCACTTAGACAGGTCCATCCAGTTGGCATATGGCTGCACTGCGATACTTGTATGGTAAACGGATCGAGAGAAATTAAAAAACTCGGTTCAAAATACGTACTTCATTAGTTTACCTTTATTGTGTACCTACTTGTCAAAATGAGGTATTTTTAAGAAATCATCAGTCCCTTGAATAGACACATTTTCATAGGCGCATGTATAATTGTATATTCGTAATGTTTGGCTAACATTCAACACATCGAAGGTTCGATTGCCTTCGATGCAAAGTGTTTTTTACATTATTTTTTAATTATATAGTGATTTTATAAGACGTTTGACCGAGTCTGGAAAGTCTGCACATAAAACATAAGAATATCGATGTTTCGTCCAGGTTAACAGATACCGTCCACCACCACGAACCGACAGCGTAAAACGTTTAGCTAGTTTACTGTACACGATAAAAAACGTAGGTACGGTGTAAATGGTAAAAGATCTCTATTTGGAAATGTCCATTTTAAACGAAGATCAGTAATTACAAAAACAAATATTAATTGTACTTTACTCCGTATTCTGGGTTTCTTGTTTGTCTCATTCTTCGATTCTAGTCATTTGTTATAACTTATACTTATTTTATGCATCTCGGTAAGAAAGTATGTACCTACCTAACATTACCTATACGTCGCTAATCCTCTACTTAAATACTGTCTGTAGTTTACGCGAGTAGTACACATTTAAATGAAACACTTTAACGGTTTGAAACGCGATATATATTAGTTAAACTTATTTGAAAATTATTCTAACTACGGCCCGACGTATCGGATGCTTTGCAGCACGAGGTCGTTGCGTCGTCACGAGGAGAGTCTCCCCGTGACCACGGCTAATAACGAACAAGTTTATATCGCGTGTATTGAAGCCGTTACAGAGTTTTATTTAAATACTTCTACTTTCTTATGTTATGAAGGTGAAGTTAATACTAAATGCAGTTTCTCTTAATGAAGTATAAATTAAGCTCAAACTATTTAAAAAAAATAATGTTACTAACCAAAGGTATCAAACTATGCTGTAGTAACCGTGAGGTAGCTACTATGACCTATCATCACTCGTTGAGATCGTTCGTCGTCGTTTTGTACAAGTCTCTTGCAATTCTTTTTTCTCTTACATTTCTATTTTTGACAGAAATTTGAATTTATAATCAAATCCGGCCATCGACTAGGTAGTTCAATCTGCTCAAATTTACTAGCTGAAACTTTTTTGTAGGATTCTTATAAGAAACGAATGTTACCTGACTTAGGTACTAGTGGCGAGCCGCCGTTTAGCCGTCGAGTCGTTAAAATTTTATCGATACCTGCTCATACGAGTCCCGATAACGATCCGATTGGGTTTTGTAACTTGATTTATACTTTCGGTGAGTTATTATTCACTTTGATAATATCTTCCGAGTATTGCTAATGTTCCTTGTTTTATATGTAGGTACCTACCTAATTCTTTGAGTTTTATTACTTGCTTATTTTAATCTCTACCTACTTCGTTTAACTTTGCTACATCAGACCGCTTCAAATTTAATCAACTTCTCTATTAAATAAGTAATCTATTGATTATGTAGGTATGTACCTATCTTATACCTTGCAAATGGTGGTGGTGGTGGTGGTGGTTCGCGTAGCAAGAGCGTATCGAAAGATTTTTTGATGTGAATATGAGTAAGCTATAGTATTGTATCTATTGTTTAAATATTTAATATATTTATTTTGATAAATACTGTCTGTAGTTTACGCGAGTAGTACACGTTTAAATAAAACACTTTAACGGTTTAAAAGGCGATGTATATTAGTAAAACTTATATGAAAATTATTTTTCACTACGGCCCGACGTTTCGGATGTTATGCAGCAGCCGTGGTCACGTTTTAAACTGGTAAAACAATGTTTTGAAATATATACCTATTAATCGGAATGATATACTAACTTTTTGTCTTAACCACAAAGTTATTTTTATTAAAACATTATCTTGTACCTATAAGAACCTAAAGTAAAGCCAACTTTGCAGACTTCGTTTGCCATTAGCTTGATCGTAGCAGATGATAGGTAAGTTAAAGTAAATTGGTATAATACTTAGGTCATCACATGTTTTAATTAAGTATAACTTTGATACACTTTGTTTATTACATGTCCATTTTGGCCTATTTGACCTTAGTCTGCATTATTGAGTTGAAGACATACTTGGCGTTATCCATTTGGTACTCATTTACTCCATTACAATTTCTTAAGCTACCTGCCTACTTATGTTTTGGACTCCTATCAGATATAGCTAAAGCTAAACGACATTTAAAAGCGATCCCGAAAAACATACCGTCGAACCCAAAAACCACTAACAACCACAGCACATACAGTCGAAGGCGAAGTCGAAACCGGTCAATCACTCGCGGTTCACTCCACTATCAATCACATCACTGATCATCGGTCGAGGGTCACTCGCGTTCGCGTAAATGCGTCCGCGACGGCGCGCCGTGCTCAACTGACGCGGGGCGCGCTCGCCCAGATTGGTCAGCCCCGCCCTCCTCTGGCCACGCCCTGCCCCACCGTGCCCGATGACAGATAATAATTGGCCGGTCGCATCTACCTTGATTGTCAATGGAGATTTCGAACGAGACGAGCGCGTCACTTTTTTGCGGTATTTAAATATGCTTTATGATATATTATATAAGGTTAATAGATTTATCTCCCTTTTTACCAACAATTTTTCTAAATTAATTATATATTGTATTAATGTTAATAATTTGGGGCGTCTTCCGAAGATGCAAAGCATCTCACAAAAAGTGACGGGTGCAATAACTTTTAAAAACAAACAAATTTAAAGAAAACACTCTTAAAGGTTTAATGGTTTTTGTAGTAGGTGAGTACGTAAACGTTAACTAATCTGTTACACATTTTTAACCAAAAATTTGTTTTATTTAAATGAGTTGTAGGTACTCGCGTAAACTACAAACAATGCTTAGTATAATAAATTGATTTTGAGAAAGTTTGAAAACTGTAATATTTCTCACATGTGTTATTGCACATGAAAAAAATTCATCTCGGGCAGGACTCGAACCGGCACCGTCAGCATCATAAAAAATATTCCGTTTTTCCTAACTGTTTCAAAAGAAGTACCTACTAAGCAGGTCACTTATAACTTATACCTAACTAAATAATAAATACCTACAAAAAAGAGTCTGTGTATTTTTACTACAGAATTCTGTTAAGGAATGGATACCTAGTGAAGTTATTTTAGACGTTTATTTTAAAAGTACGGAACTAAAATATGTATAAAACCGGACAGGTGCGGCTTAGATTATCGTATCGCATACTTAGATATAGTGCTCGAAGGCTTCCGAACAACCATTTATTGTAATTGAATAAAAATTAAGTTGATGATTTATTTTATTGTTTTGTTTGAAATTAAAAATACAACTGAGTATTTTTTTAATATCTCAAGTGCCTACTTACAGTCATTATCGTAATCAAGCAAAAAAGATAAAAATCATGTTTGTTATATTCTTAGTTTTGGTGTTATCACAACACACATGGGTAGATATATAATTTATGTGAATTTCAAAAAAAAAATCTAGTTCTCTCAGTTCCTGTGATAGGTACCTTCTACCTAAGTATATCCTGGTGGTCGACAGACAGCTACGGAACCCTTTCAAAAGAGTTCTTTTGAAAGGGTTCCGTATTTTCTTTTGTGGTCCCTAAGGAACCCTAATTATTAGAGAATAAAGTAGGATGTAGTGCATATATGTAAGTAGGTATCTACTGTATCTATTATTTATCTGAGGGCCCACAGAATAGAAAAGTCTATAAACCACTTTCTTTATTTACTACGTATTCCGTACAAATTCCAATCAACCACTGTTTAGTCTTATTTTAATTTAAATATCAACAAAGGTGAACCTGCATAAATCACAATGTTACGTACTTATACAACATGCCCTGTAAAATACATGGAGGTATTTAATTAGGATTAGAGTCTTTTGATTTTATGGATCTTATTTACCTACTTAGGAAAGAATTACTTATGCCATCTAGTGTAGTTTGTAGTAAGACGAAATCCTACTTATGTCGGTTTATAATTTTACAGCTAACTATTTGGGACATCTTAACTACTAGATACTAACTTGAATATGATATTAGATAACGTCACTACCCATTTTATGTGCATTGTTTTCTGTTGTTCTTTGCATTATTAACAAACGCACAAAATATTGTTACAACTGACACCTAGTGTGGAAAGTTGAAAATGAATGAAAACTGTCGAAATACAGAAACAAACAAACATTCATTTCAGTGGACCAAATTAAAAAAGAATAACTTTTAAATTAGTCGATTCTATTAAAAAATAAATTCTCTATGAAATTCATTTCGACAATTGACATGGTAAGCTTAGCGCTTTACATTTATATACTCTGTGGTCTGTGGTGAATGCTGATCGCTGACAATATTATTTTGACAATAAAAGATATCGGCCGACGAGACACTGTTGCTGATAAATATAATTAGTTTTCACAAAATAATGTGTTCCAAATGCTTTAATAGTTCCGAAAACACATGACAGTGCCATGAATCCGTTGAACATAGCAGAGTGGTCAGTAGACCAAGTTTCAGAATGGTTATCGGGTAAGTTATTTGCGTTTTGTATATGGTGAGTCACCAAAGTTGTGGTAATGGAATGTTTTGATGCAGGTTTGGGGCCGATGATATCACAGTATGCACCGGAGCTACTAAACCGAGGCGTTAATGGAGCTAAGCTCTTGACTTTGAGATGTGACGATCTGGAGTACCTCGGTATACATGTGATTGGGCACCAGGAGCTGTTGTTGGAGGCTGTAGAACATCTAAGAAACTTCGTATGTTTTACTTTTTCTAACTTGCATTCAATCTGGGATTTGCGCCTGTAAAATTTTTATGTGCAACAACTATAATAACAGGGCTATGGGATCTAGTCGTTATGTTTAACGAGGTAAAATAATACACAGCATAGATGTGAAAAAATTCAATAAAGTGAAAAACGTATGAGATAAACAGTTATATAAAAGAACACATTATTTTTAGAAGGAAAACATTAGATTAGAATATGCATCTTTGTGTTAGACAGGAATTTTCACACAAAAAAAACAATGGCATTTTCTCCAGTGTCATCGCTTTTTACTATGCAAATTAGGATAAACTCTTCATCTATGAAATTATTTTATTTGTGACACACAAAAGCATTAACAAAATAATATAACATAGAATCTCTATACTCGAATCTTGTTAAATCAAAATCGTTAGTAACTCGAGCTTTGCACAGTTTATGTAATTGTCCTAATGTTATGTCGGTTTGTAAAACAAATACATAAGAATATACAGAAACATGAAGTGATTTGTTTGTTTGTTAAATTAATATATGATATATCTATTCATTGCCATATTGTTTGTTTAAAGTTCATATTGTTTATCTCTTATCAAATAAAGTTAACTTATTGTACTCTAATGTGCACTTCTTATCACACATCTATTCAACTATCAAACATATCCTGTTAAATTTTAAATACACTTTTAAGTTAATTAAAAAAATGTGTGTAAATGTCTCACAGTGTTAAACTTTGCGTGACTCATTAGTTAAATCAAATATCTAAAATGCTCATTATCTAAAATTAATCCAATTATGAGAACTGAAGACAAAAGATTTTTTTTTTTCGCCTATAGCCTTAGTTGTTTCGACTTTAGTTTTTAATGAAATTTTCAAAAGATGTAGGTATCTGTTTTCTGTGTTTGATAGATAAATATTTTCTGATGTTTTGTCAGAGATAAATTATAAATCTACATAGATTTAATAGAAATTGAATTTAAAATGTAATGACATGGGCTGAATTTGAACTTTTCATGCCATCACATGCAATATGTAAAGAAAAAATTAAAAATTAATGAAGTTTTCTTTTCGGATTCCATTATTTTTAAATTTTCTTTATTTGCCAAGTTATTTGTTGTCAAATTACAACATAAGATTCTTTTGATAGTGAAATAATAAGTCACCAAGTACACCTAAATGTAGCCTAAGTATATGGAATGGTGTATTATTTTTTAATGAAGCAATTGGGGTAATACTTATTATAATACTTATCATGAAATATTTTTTATTTAAAAATTCCAGCATTACGAGATATCCAGGGAGTGTGTCCAACAACTAGCGCTTCGTGTGTCGGCAGCGGCATCGTCACTGGCTCGGGCCCTTCGCCACCACGCAGACGCCAGACTTGAGACCCATTCACTCGCCGATGTGGCTAGGACTGTACATGCTGTAAAGCCATTGGTTTGCTGGCTGGATAGGTTTGTTTGAGATTCCTGGTTACTTTCTTAAAGTTTAGTCTAATTAATAGTATGTGGTCTGCTCAATCTGCTCGATCCAGCAAGCATCTGTTTTTAAATTAGTCCAGAATAGCTAGGAATGGAAATGCATTTCCTCTTTAAATTTACTTTTTTATGAGTAAACTTAGGATATAAAGTCTTGTTGTTAAATATTGCATTTTAAAGTAATTAATAGATAATAAGAAAAAGGAATTTTTAACAATCTTAGTAGTCAGTCTTAGTAGTTTGTGTCACCGGTATATGATGTCATGCAATTACAAGTTTTTTGTGAGTTGTTGGTATTTTAATGCTTCTAGAATTATAGATTAAGCTTCTAACTATATTCATTAACACGGCTATCTACGAAGACTTTGTTGGTTTTAATAAATGTCAGATTTTACTAAACGTAATGCAGGTTCACAAAATAATGCGTTAAAAGATTTGTAATTATTTTCAAGATGGCCACTCTGTTCCGGAGCACCATTGGCGGAGCGCAAAGCAGCGCTGCTCAAGCTATCCCTAGAAGCTGCGACGTGTGCGCAGAGAGATAGGTTTGCGGAGCAGCCAGCACGCGCTGTGGCTGCTGCTGCTGCTGCCGCGGCAGCTGTTGCTGACTATATCATACAGGTATTTACATTTAGATTCGTATTAAATGTCACGTCTAATTCTGTCTGCTCCGTTTCCTGTGAATAAAATTGATCAGAAAAATAGATACAGCAACTCGTCTCAAGTAAAACAGGCTAAATAATTAAGTAACGAAATCGAATCGAAACAAAAACGAATTTAATATTACCACAGACAATTATTTCATGGCATGATAAAAAATAAAGATTGATTGAAGTTCTGTGACACCTTCTAATTCTAAGTAATGCATAAAACTCTATTAACCTAATATTCATTTTCATCTCGTAGATGTTTTTAAATTTCAAAACACTTTTTCAGGACGTCTCTGACCCCATGATCCTGCAGCCAGCATCTGTGGATACGGTGACGCTGAAGCAGGGCGAACGCCCCCTGGGGTTCCAAGTGCTACCTTCCTTCTGCGGGCATCATCAACTCGCTCACATTCGCTTCGGTTCGCCCGCCCATGCCTCCGGACACGTACACGAAGGGGACGAGATCGTACAGGTTGTTATAATAAAGTACTTTTTTTGGAAAACTATAACGCCTCTTGATATTAGTTCATACTTTAAGTTACTTTTAATACATGTTATTGCACACGATAGCATTGCATAAATTAAAGATCGATTTTAAATCGAAAAAAATGTACATCACTTAAATGTACTTAAACGGGCATCTCCAGTATTCCGTACTGTTAGTTGAGAGCAACAGCTCGGAACGCTGGTTCAAGTCCTGTCCGTGACGTATTTTTTTAATCTAAGATCGTTTTTAAAAGATAAAGAGGACGTATCTTTATTTTGGGCTTATTAAACTTCATTTTATGTCCACGCGCAGGTCGGTGATATATGCGTGATTGGCTGGAGTGGGGATTCCGTGGAGCGATTCTGCGCAAAGCAGGCGTTACGTAATGGGGAATTGGTGCTCAAGCTGCGACGGCGAGGAGCTAGGGCTTTGCCCACCCCGCCCTTGCACGCGAGGACGCCCCGTCCACGAGCAAACAGGCTCAGGCTGCCCCCGCTACATGACACGCGGATGCTGCATAGGTATGAAGTTTATTCAAATTAGACCTTTGCAATTCATAAGTCTGTTTTCTTTTTATGTATACTGTTGAAATGTTAACGATGTGAAGTATGTCCTGTTATCCTTAGATTACGCAAGTAATGGATATTAAATAAAATAGTGTGCTGTAACCCCCGTCACCACAATATATGCATATCTAAATTCGAATTTCTAATTTATTTAGTTTTTAAGTGTTTTGCACTTAACACAGGAACGAACGGAAACATAATAATATGTTTTTTAAATAAAATGAAACACATTTTACGGATTAAAAACTGAAATATATTAACTTTTTTCAATTGTTACTGTAGCCCGAGGTTTCGGTTGCTTTCCAAACACGTTTATGTTTTATATCCGGACGTTTCTTGTTGGAATCTACGCTTTGTTTCGCCGATGTAGGTTAGGCCCATTCACAATCCAGTCTATAAACCAGGCGTCTTGTACAGGTATTTAGTAGGTCTCTGGAATTTCCTCATCAAACAGGCATTACACTGAGAGAGCTAAAAGAGCCCGATCTCTTTTAGCTCTCGCAGGGAGTGTAACAAAGCTACACCGACAGAATTGAGTTGGCTGAGTTGGTGATGTGAGTCACCGCTCAGGTGCTTATCTGTGTTAGTTGTTTATCTAAAGACGGTGTGACTGTTGTTACCTGATTCATCGCGAATGACTCTATAAACCAGGCATTTAAGAAAGGTTAGTTTAAGTAATGCAGATACTAAGTCTTTTTCGCGTTTAAATCGTTAAGTGTTTAATTTTAACGTGTCCTACGTTTTCAGATATAGTACAAAGTTAAAAACATTTAGTTAAATGGTATAATCATGTATTTTTCAGATACGAATTAGAATTTCCTATTGCTGCGGTGCCACTTCCAGCTCCCCCAGAGAGCCCCTCGAACACCCCTGCCCCCCACTCGCCAGTTTCCTCCTCTGATGAGAGCGAGGTTATATCGCCCCCGGCTTCACCCACGCAGCTACATCTGGATAGAGCTAGGTATTTTAAAATAAGATTAAATACTTATTCATCGGTTATCACAAAAGGACAGTATATAGGTGAATATTTAGTTATTTTATAATGAACAGTTTTCATTTAAACTAAACTAGCTTACACACGCAATTGACGCATGGCATACATAAATACACTTTTATTTTTATATTTTTTACTTTGTAACTTAACCATTTTCAGAATGTACCCCCCTAAGCCGCAGGCAGTGGTGCAGCGACGTCACACGATCAGTTGCGGCAGCCCCGTTTCTAGGAGACCCCATCTTAGTATTGAACAGGTACAGCGAGAGTAACGTCCATATATAATGTGATCAAAAATCATAAATCAAATAATAAAAAAAAAAATAAACAAAGATCCTTCAGACCGATATTAGTCTAGATCGGATCGAAATGTACCATTGTCTATGGAAGGAATAACAGGGCGTGATGATATAAATTATGATTCTTATTTTTAATTTATTTGTCAAGTAATACTTTTGACAACTTGTCATTTTTATATAACGTCGGGGTAGGGATTTTTGGTGGTGAGACACAGTCTCGTGCCCACCGGATAGATTGGTTGTAATTGTAAAGTGATCGAGTCTTGTTCTGAGTCATTAGTCGTCACGAACGGTCGGTCGCGTTAAAAGTTATTGTCGCTTTCATTCCAAAGGCAATTCGTTTGAACCGATTCAATCGTTGCATATTTTGTGTTACTTCGTTTTGGACCATTTGGCATTTGAGTACTCTAATGAACCATCCGACTGCTTGGCCATATAGATTCAATATTAAGTGTTTTTATTTATACGTTTCAGTTTTGGCAAGAACTGCAGCAGCAGCGGTGGGAACATGGAGATGCACCTGACCACGAGGATTCTGCCCTCTACAGGCGAGATAAGGTATTAAAAGAATGTTATCAGTTGTATCTTCCAGATGGCCATTGCCAAAGAGCTGTGGCATCTTCTTTCGACAAGCGAAGTACATGTTTCTTTGTCTTACTTTGTCGTAGTATAAACCATACATACTGTACGATCAACAAAATAAGTTGTGTAGACTTAGGCTTGAACCCAAATCGAGACTCATAGTAAACAAGATTTTATCTCATTGATTTAACCCAGGGTTTACACCATTTATTTTGACGGGCGCTCTTCAGTGGGCACCTAATTAACCACTGTGCCACTTGAATTTTGTAGTCTTATTAAACCTGTTTCTCGATGTTCGATGGGCGTTTTGTAGTCGGTTGTTTGTATCAATCTTGTCGTGTAGTTGTACCTACCTCGTCCGCTCAGCAGGATCTCTCAAGATAGTGTAAGGCCGATGAGGACGGCAATTGTCGCTCCATGACAAAAAATATCTCTAAACCAAAATTTGTGTCAAAATGAAAATGATAGAGAATACTAAATTTTCATAAGGATATATTACAAACAAATGCATACGCCTCTGAATTTGTAAAAAAGAAAACAAATAATACTCAATTATTTTTTTACAACCAGCCAGTATGCCAACTAGATCTGAAAACGTACATAGGTGTATAACCTACTTGGTAAGAAATAATATAATCATTTATTAATAACTTGAAATAGTATTTGTTGGCAGATAGACTTTTTGATGTGTGTACGTATCGAATTTGCTTGTTAATGATTAATCAACCGGCCAGTACAAATTCTACACGTATATATTTCTCCCATTCCAGGCAGTATCCTGCAGCACTGGTCTTCAACTCTCACCTCGGCCTCGCACTTGCTTGGGTGTCCCCAGGGCTCCTCTCAACATTGCCGAACCCCCCCACGCCGCATGCCGAGGAAAGCTTGACAAAAGCCACTCAACCCCGGCGTACGAACTCGAACCATCTGCGCCACTAGCGCCACTGACAGACAATCCTATACCAGAATCGCCAACTACACCCACTACTCACAAGGCGGATAAAGACCCACTGACAGATTTCGATGGCCAAGGTGTTTCTTCAGATAAGGTACAAGAGGTAGCTCGAGATATATCTAGCACGTGTGACATGTCACAGGACGATGACATAAAGTTAATAGATGACGAGTCTTCGGATGAGACTCCGGTGCCGGTTCTGGAGACGTTGAACACGGTGCTGGCGGAGAGCGAAGTGAAGACTGGGCCGGAGAAGCCCGAGGTTATGGAACGTAACGTTATGATGTAAGTCTTTTTTTAGCTTATAGTAGTATTTACTTAATCTATTTCTAAAAGGAACTGATTAGTAAGTTAAAACGGTCAAGCTATAACGTTGTTTTACGGAATATTGCTGGAAATTAAAACCACGCGTTATTATGATTGAAATAAAATACATATTAATAATAACCGTTTATTGGCTTAAAAAATAGTTTTTCGCCTAAAGTAGCTTAAAGCTTGGTACAGCAAAGGTTTTTCAAAACTTTCTTTCTATTGTTGTTTGGGGGCTTCAAGCTAATAACTTAAATTTCACCCATTACTTACTCATTTACACGTATCCACCAACGTTTTCAGATACCCAAAGCCGCGCATAACTGAACGCTGGAAAGTGCAAGACGTGCCCCCTGAACCGCCCCCGCGGCCCTCCACGCGGCTTCCCCCTCCTCCCCCACGGGAGCACATGCCCCCCTCCCCCCGTCTCTGCCCTATAGAGATGTGCGTGACAAATACCTGGTGCAAAACAGGGAGGAGAAAATGCGCATCGATTCTAAATCTAACGTAGATGAAACGAAATTTAATCGAGAGGATTATAAATTAAATACAAAAACGAACCGTGAGCCGCTGGGTTCTCTGAGCGACCTGAAAATATTGTCCCCATGTAGGGAAATACACCATGTGTTCGAAGGGGACAGTCGGTCCCCGAGCAGGGACGGACAGACCTGGGAGCCGATATCGATGGTGCAACCGATATCGCCCCTGAGGGAGTGCACCGCTCCGCAGTATCCGGTGCTGAGGATGATACCTCGACCTGCTGAATCCCGGGACTCTTCGCCTCTTAAGCCGCTGCGCCCTGGGGATACTACGCAGGTAATTTAGATGTTACTAACAGCCCTCTTATGGTAAAACGTAGTAGACCCTTTAACAAAACGTCGAATCATCTTAGAACTAAGTATTGACTGTAGTTTAATAGAGTAGTACGTTTAAATAAAACACTTTTAACCGTGTAAAACGCGAAATACATTAGTTATTTTTAATTTTTGTTAATGTTCACAGGAAATGTCGTTTTAATTAATGACGTGACATCTTGTAACTGTTGAGGTTGTGAGGTGTTGATGTAAGATAATAATTAAAATATAGTAAGAATAGAAATACGTTTATGAAGAAATCACCACATTTACAATAATGAATTGATTTTACACAAATGATATATGAACTGTTGCGGACAACGCCAATTTGTGAAAGTGGTATCCTCTTTCTTCTAAAATACTAAGCACTAACTTCTTAATAGAATGCATTTAATTGGGTTTCAGATATCCGTACCGCTCCGTCATATAACCAAACACGATATAAAACTCGTATCGAACGAGAGACGAGAGCTGCCCCCGATCAACGGCGAGCCCGAGCCGAGTCCGAGCGAAGCGCGGAAAAGAGACGGCGATATCGTTATCGGTGCTGCGAGTGAGCAAGCGCACCTGCTCGAGTCGCTGCACTCCCCGAAGGGAGCTATGTCCCCCACGGGCAGCGTGGTTAGGGGCATCTTCCCTACTTCCAAGTCGAGGAGTTTGAAGAAGAAGAACTCTATACTGGCTAGTAAGTGCACATAATATTAAATAACATAACTAAAATTGACTCTGTAACAAACGTTTATTCGTGCTAATAACGACCGAAGCCGAAAATCTTTTTATAGTTGAAGCGATACTTGTAATATATGTATGATATTGGGTATGAATTTAATTCATCTATAGATCAATAAAGAGTATTAAAGAGTTTGCTCTGCTCTGTTGATATCAATAATTTTGCTTTTCAATTGTTTACATTTTTAATGAAAACTTACAGCTAAAAATATAGACAAGATAATAGAAAAAAAATAGATATAGAAATATACAAGTACTTTAACCAATAAAAACGATTAAAAAAGACAATTATACAGTAAGCATATAGCATTATAAGTAACTACTTTAAATTACGATAGCTATATTAAAAACGAATATTAATCAAGAAAATAAAAATATTAGATTCCATCAACTAATAATAATATTGGAAATAAATGCCTCGCTAACTGAAATTAATAAAATTTCGCTTACGGCGAAAAGTGAACACAAACCGTTTAGCGGGATTAAGATTTAAAGCATTTCTTACACAGTACGTTTTCAATTTTACTTTTATTTACTTTACGTTACTTTATTACGTACTACTTTATGTTATTACTGAATCGTCAATTAAATAGATATCATAATATATAATTTTAGAGCGTCGCGAGGTAGCTGCGCGGGCGCTCAGCGCGAGGGGCGCCGCGGGCTGGGTGTGGCAGCGTGTGCGGGCACGGCATCAGCAGCAGCCGCGGTGGGCGCAGCGCTATCTTCTGCTTACTCACAATCTTCTCTACGCATATCGGTCTCCCGAGGTTGGTATCGTTCACAATACCTGATAAATTAATATACTTCGGTCAAACGTGATACATATACACTTGTAGTACCTCTAAATAACAAATAAAGCTATCGCTAACTATATATATATATATATAAATAAATTATTATTACTCAACTTAGATACGAAGATAAAAAACGTTAGCCTTAAAAGGCGTAACGAGTAATGTGTTATATTTGAACGCCTACCGATCATATCTTCGTATGTGGTTGGCCTAATCGCCGTATTTAATCACAGAGTGGCAAATTTATGTTACCAATATTTTTAGGTACGAAGCAAGGCTTTCAAGAATTTGACTATTGACTTAATTAGATTTAGAATTGGATCAATGTTATCATTACAATAACTTAATGTGTTAAAATTGGCAGAGCGTCCGCGCCGACTGCATGATCTACCTGGAGGGGTGCACGGTGAGCGCGGCGGGGGAGGTGAAGTCGCGTGCGCACTCTTTCAAGGTGTATCACACGGGCAGCGCCTTCTACTTCGCCGCCGCCTCCACTGACGCTATGCTGGCCTGGATCCAGCTTATCCACCGCGCCACGCTGCTGCCCTCGATGCTCTCGCAAAATGTAACGATATGACTATACGTTTCTTATTATATGAACTTCTTCTTATACTTCAGTGTGTGAATTATGTTTGCCTTAGAACTAATAGTTGACAAAGGATATTTCCTGTGCAAGTATAAAGAAGTCCTTCAAGAAGCAAAGTCCAGTAGTCTGTTGTTAAAATGTTTGTCTCGATAATTTTGGTTCTCTAATTTCAGACCGACATAAAACAATTCTCGGAAACCGATTATTCCGAAACTGAATCGGAAACGGAGAGCCCTGAAAAGAGAGACAGGGAACGCGAGAAGGAAAAGGACAAGGATAAATCGAAGTTCGGTTCGCTCAAGAAGTTGACACACCGCAGTGGGAGAAGTGAACGCAGCGAGTCGCATGAGAACGTGAGCCAAGCGGCGGCTTCTACTAGCCTCGATCGGAAGTATCTAAGGTTCTTTTCTCGAACGAGGGCTAAAGATGACTCCAAGAGCAAGGTGAGTTCGAGAATATATGTTTTGTAGCATTCATATTTTTCTTTTTACATTTCTAGCATATTTAGTATATGATTGGTCCATTTGTAAGTTGTTTTAAAGATGAAATATGACGTGTAGGTTAAAGATACGTTTTCATAAGGCGGTCTCCACTCTAGCCATTTATTCTATAATCACATAATTTCAGACCAAACAACCATCGGGTCCAGTCCCCACCGAGCAATACCGCAGTTACCGTCGTGCGCTCCCCGACCCTCCGTCGTCCCCTGCTCAGCACCCCAGTTCTCCCCCTCCTCCCCGAAATAAACCGAGCCCAATCGACTACATCCACGCCTCCAATCCGAATTTATTGGACTTCGAGAAGAGCGATTTTGTCATGAAGCCAGCCATCCAGCCGAAGCCGAAGCCCAAGGAGAAACTCGTGGGTTTCGTGACTCTTGAAGAGTTTATGCTTAAGAAGCAAGAGGAAGAGAGACGGCAGGTGTACTCGGAGCGAGTGTTGCTGGGCGTGCAAGAGAGACGGGAGTTGCAGCGGCGTCTGGATAGGATAGTGCCTGATGTTATATATGGGGAGGTGGATACCGCGAGACCGGGAGGAGACGGGTGAGACTTTTATGTGATACTAATAGTTTTAACTGCGCCCGACGCTTGTTACCTTTTATTTTATACAAAATGTAGCTTATCGTAGAGTTTCTAACCTATAAAATTTTAATATTCTTGAAACTTTGACGGCCTTGTTGGTCGTCTCTGTGAAATAGGGTAGTAGGAATATCGAAATTCCTTCCGGGTTATGAACCACCGTCAACAGATGAAAAGGCTGTGGAGTTTAATCGCGTTTCAGTTTGTCTGTTCTGAATATTAAAAAACCAAAATAGGTCAACATCTTTATCAGATGTCATATTGCTGGGGTATGTCACCTTCCATTGAATGAACCCCGTGCTTGGGCATCCTCCTCTATCAGAGAAAATATATACATAAACTTCTTAAATCACAGCATATCAACAAAGATGAAGAATTAAGAAAATGATCATAAAACATTTACAGATACGAGAAAATCGTGTTTCCCGATGAACGAACGGATGGAAATAAGCCGGAATCCCTTAAGAAGAAGGAAAAGGTAAATATTATTTTGGAGACTTTATTTCTATTGACAACCGCCATTACAATATCTCGAGAAACAGATGACATGCGTTTTAAATTTTATTATTACACTCTTGCACATAATACTTTTCATAAAACATTTTCAGGTGAATTTGCCCGTTTCCAGTTCCTCTCTTGCCCCAGCACCGACTGAAAGGTAAATTCAACATTTACAAACACTTTATTGACAGCTAAGTACATAATTACTATCTTATAATTATACTAGCTGTGTCAGCGACTTCTTCCGCGTAGAACACTTATTTGTTTTTACAAACCTCTACATCTCTACAAACTTATTTGTTACCCACGACGTCCCTTCTCGTCGTTCTTGCAAGATTTATAAATTAAAGACTAAGATGACGTTTATTATCCTACATTTCTGTTGTGAAACGGTATTGTGTATTTACTGCAATTAAAGATTTATTATATTTCATAATTTGCCTAAATGATGTACAAAGAAGATTAAAATGTATATATTAAATATATTAATATAATTTTCAGTACCGGAGGTGCGAGCGTGTCCCGTTTGAGGTTGATGTTTGGTGGAAGACAGGTATCATCTGGCTTTACTCTATATTGAACATTTTTGAACGACGTTATTTGACATTAAAGTATTTTTCTATTTGACATACGAATGAGGCTACTAGAGGCAGAGTGGCCTAATAATAAAATGAATTTGTGTAAGTATTATGAATGTTTTTAGACTATGAAAATATACATTGTAGTTAAGCTACTCTGTCTCTAGCGGCATCAAATATCCCTTGGATAAAAGGAAAGTAGGATATTAACATTACTGACATGGAAAATGATTTCTGCTGTCAATATTTGTGTGTTGTGTTTTATCTCATTGTAAAAGTTGACTTATTTAATGATATCAGTGTTTAAAATAACGAATATATATTTTCCAATATAGCAGGGTGCTGAGACTCGATCTGGGCAGTACCCCCACTTGCAGTGCCCCCCTACTTTTCAGCCGGAGAGCTATTCTCTAGCGCGTCTTGCGCCCCGACATCCCTAATCCAGGTGAAGTTTCAAAGCTTTCAAATTAGTCACTAACATCTATTGTGTTACATAATACAATTGATTTTATTTTAAGTCTGTGTACTATCGATAGGCATTACATATGCTAATCTTCGCTTATTCATTTCTGTTAGTACCCCTAAGAATCGAATGTTTTACGGTTTCTGCTTTAGTAACTTTTCAAGTCTAGAGTAGTTATAAAATTTTTTAAAATGAATATTGTACCGAAGGCTGACAAGCTGAAGTAATAGATACATTAAATTTAAAATCTTTATACGTAATAATTACTTACTTTTACTTTTTTTTTATTACAGCGCCATCTCTGCAATGTGGATTGAAGTAGGATATATTTTTCTCTTTCGCCCAATTTTAATTCTGTTTTCTCATTTCAGTGAGTGTCCTGGGAAATTGTTAACCAACTGCAGAATCAATATATCTTATTATTAACTTAATCCTACGTTACTAGAGGTATTTAGTTTAAATATAAGTTTAAATGTAAGACTTCGGAAATATTTGTTGTTATTATATGTATGTAAATTTAAAAGTCTAATATATTTGCTCAAAAGGAGCAAGGCGCGATGTCACAGAGGTCCTTAAATAAGGATTCTTCAACTTCTTATGACTATTAGCATATATTACGATACAAATAGAATTCGTCTAAGATAGATCAAATGTATGACACCAAGTTTTAGGTAAATAAGTGCTGGTTTAATCTGTTTTTTACATATTGAATCTGTGTACGCGGATTACGTAAGTCTGTACTCGAAACTTTGTGGGTTGAACACATTTATTAACATTTTAGCAAAATTTTAAAGATTGATTGTGAAGTAAATTTATGTTTAGAGAAAGGATCTTAATGAACCGCAAAGTAGAAGGAACTTCTCATGAATTGTGTACTTTTGAATTCGAATATTGCTGAAAATGTTTCCGATCTCAAAGTTCTTCGTATTGTATCAATGAAATGCACTGTACGTTGAGTAGCTTTTGAAGAAAGCGGGAAAGCTTTAAGCCGGGTTCTAAGCTAAAAGCGCTCTTTAACGTTTAAGCGTTTGTATATTTATTGTCCAAAAAATATATCCATATATCAAACTTAGATTTGGAAACTACCAACGCATGCGCACAATTGTACATATTCGGATTTTAATCTTGTATATAAACGGATTAGATAGTTATACAAAAGGTTGTAACGGACAACGAGGCTCGTTATTTCTACACGAGTAGTACATATTTACATAAACACTTTTACCGGTTTAAAACGCGACACCCGTGACCACAGCTGTTGCAAAATATCCGAAAGTTGGGCCGTAGTTAAAATAAGTTAATATATTGCGTGTTTTAAACCGTTACTACTGTTTTACTTAAATATTTCTACACTTAATACTTTTGTTAAATATCGTATAATATAATAAGTGTTAAATAAAAGTGCCAATATCATAGCTAGCTATTAAAAAAGGATTTCAAAAATCCGTCTTGCTAATAAACTATAAAAGACATTTTGTGGCCATTTTGCGAACCTTCTTCGGTTCTCTCTCTTCCCTTCAGCTCTTCGGCCTTCGCAATCGCCTTGAGAAATGGTTCTGGACGTTTCGCCATTACGAGTGGACACCATCACAAAATGTTAAACCGCGCACTTTTCGTCCGCTAATAGTTCTCATATAATTCCTGCAATGTTTAAATGACAATATTTTGCTTGTGCCAAAATGTAAGCGAATCTTTTAATACTTATATAATTTTATTGTAACGAAAACGTTATGATTATTGTAACGCTTGTATTTTTCTTTATTTAAGAACACACTTCGAACTGTTAGAGTAATTATAGAAGTATATCTGTTAATATACACTTTATAATACATGTTGCAAACTAAACGGGTGTAAATATTTAAATTACAAAAACTAAGATAAGACTTCTGCGAATTAAGAAAACGTCCATATTCATTTCCATTTATATATATTATGGGTTATGTAAAGGCACATTTTTATATGTATGTTTAAAATTTGATTTTCCCTGTCATTTATCTGAAAATTAGCACCTTGTAATATATGTGGACTGACATTGATGCGAAAGAACAATCGCGTCCACTATTTTAATACTAATAATTATTTTATTTCCATTATAGACATGATATTAATTAAACTTAGTTTATACCTAAATAAAATACTTCAAGGGACTCTCAATCTTTAAACTGTGAAAAGGACCACTACAAAGCGACCGCAACGTTGGTCGTAGTAAAATCGTTGTATAAAAATGTTTAAATAATATTATCCGCATTTTAAACTGTTAAAAGTTTTGAAACGAGGACGAATAAGCAATAATTAGAAAAATAAAACGACAAAAGTTTTGGTTTTTTTTTCTTAAATAAAAGTGTGTTTCCCCTCTTGTAGATAGTGTAACGAATGATGTCGGCAGTGATACTCAGCTTTATGGTAGATAGGAACAAATAATGTAATTTTTTAACATTTTGCGGGCTTAGCTTCGTCCCCGCCCCTCATGAAATACCACTTTAATGAAAGCTTATGGCGCGAGGTTAAACTTTAATTATGTATTGTTTGTTTTAAGTTTATTATAGTTAAAATGCGCATGGGCAGAGGGCACAATCGTGTAATCGTGTATCTACAAGTATAAACATGACATCTAGACGTACTTTTGAGTCTCATTTACTTATCAAGGCAATCGTGTCAAAAATTGACGCGCGCAATATTTGACCGTCAGAGATTCTAATTAACAACTTTGTAAAAAAATAACTCAAAATTGTGTCTGCATTATATCTGGTTCTGGAAATAGGATTTGACTTTTAAGGTAATCGCACATCTACCCTAACGGTACGCGTGCGTTGCTGATAAATAGGCGATCACCTTAAAGGTAAAATCCTTCTATCGTCACACCTAACGTAAAACATATTGGTGTCCATTTTATACTATGCTTGCTTTGTCTACACGTGCCGAATTTCGCGCTTACTTTCAAAGCCTAATAAAGCCTTAATTTTATATTGTTAAGATTCTTTAAGCGTAGTCTGTAATGATTTTGTTTTAATAACACGATGTATATATTGTATTTTAAACCGGTTCAATTATTTACTGAATAAATCAATTTTATAAGCATGGTGTTTTAAAGTCTTCATAGACACAGTTTACGTTTCCAAGTAAACGTGATCAAGTAGATCATAGTTTGCCTAAAGAACTACAATACTACTTAAGTTCATGAAAAAGTATAAACAAAAAAATGTAGCTATAACATTTTTCATCATTTGATTAACACTGTGTGAAAAGACAAACCCTAGTCATGACTTCGTTTACTTTAAAAAGTCTTCTTTTCCTTCTCCTTTCCGCAAGATACTCTTCTTATGAGCACAGGTCCTAATCATAGTTGAATAGCTTTGATTTAGTCAGATCTCTTGACAGCTTATTGGCATGTTACAAGTTTTTCATTGCGAGGACTTCGCCAATATTAGTTATGGCATTGTTGAGGAGGAGAGTTCGAACATTAAAAAGGAGATAATCTAATAAGGCTGCTACAACGCGACTTCTCCGAAGATCAAATGAAGCGGAATAAAAACGGCGACACGAAGTCGGAGGCACAAAGGAGTGCATTACGCCGTGATCTCAAATGTAATTAGCATCCTAATTAATAAAGGAGGAGAATTAATTACGGAATGAACTTACATTTTTAAAGGACCGGTCTTTTCATTGAAATTACATTAATGCGATATGAAGTCTTATTTTCCATTTACGCTTCGTTAACATGCCTCCGGGTGCGGGGCATTGTTTCCTGTTCTATACGAAAAGCTATCGTTCCGAATTTATTACCGGCTTTTTTATTTTTAGTATAGCGACCGATGGACAGCGACATGGTATTCGCGTAGTATACCAAAATGAAACCTAATCTATAATATATACCGCTAAAGAGTTTCCTAATCTCTAGAACTACTGGTTGCGACTAATAGCAGCGCAAAGACGGCGGGAAATCCGAAGACGGTTCAAGATAGCTAAAAAATATATATGAAAGAATGATTCCTCTTTAAAAGATCTGAATAAATGTCGGCGACACTATATGTCTATCGTTGTTGTAAGTCCACCTGTCTACAAGGAGGAAATTGGGAAATGGGTGAAATGGTCAGCTGATAACGTGGACTGATCACCCGTCCTACCACAAGTGTCCCCGAAGGAAAAAAAATAGGTCTATCGTTTAACTTGCAAAAATGACTTAATGAGGAGAAGGTTTGGCAAAACCAATTTTACGCAGCTAGTCGCCGATCTTTGTCCTCTTGTATAAAACGTGCTAGTATCATTGTTTTTGCTACAAAATATACGCCTTACTTGTCTATTTATTGTTACCCTAGGTATTTATAAGTAAAGGGTAAAGCAAGTTATTTAAAATTGCTTATTTCCGAAGGCTCCGAGTTTTCTCTTAAAAGATTTGCTCTGTCAGCGAAACGGCGGGTGTATCGCGGCACGTCCGTATTAAATATTGAAAAGTAATATCTTTCGGGGCAGGTGGACGCCGGACGGGCCCCAGGCTCTGACGGGACGATATATCCTACGTATTGACTTTTAGTGGCCCATTATTTCGCTTACGCTTCTAAGAGTATGTTCAAACTCTGTCTAAGAAGATATTAAGTTAGTTCCGAATCTATCTCAATATGAAAATGCGTTGTTCTTCGTATTGTAATCATTCAAAAATATTGTCTACACATTTTTGTCCAAGCAATTAACACGTTTCTTAGCTTTCTTTTTAATTTATACTTTATTAACATACATTGCTATCTTATTAATTAACGTAAGGCCTACATTAGCTACAAAAAAGACAAAGTAGGTAGGTTACTCCGAGTGTAGAATTAGAAATACTATCCAATTGTAACTATTCTCCTTGCACCAACCTTATAGAGTATGGTGCAATGCGGAAGCGAGTAAAATTCAATACATTGAATGACAAATGAAAGTTAATTACAAAATGTGTCGAATAATTTCAAGATCAATTTTCCATTACGTTTTTGCTTTGAA